CTCGACATCCTCAGTCCCTTGCAGGCTCCTTATAACACAATTTTGAGTCTTGGAGTCTTCCTGACCTCCCACAGGGACCCAATGCCCTTTCACCTTCCCCACATCAGCTGTCCATACCTGGCTCCCAGGGTTCAGCGGGGCCAGGATGATGTAATTGGGGTCGGTGGGGGCAGTGGCACGGGACAGAGCAGGCAGGGTATGCTGGCCCCCACGCTTGGCCACTTCAGTATAGCGCTCCCAGCCACCAAGCAGCAGCCCATCTGAGCTGTCACACACAAGGTGGCAGCTGTGGCGCTGCTCGGGCCGTGCCTGGGCCCCATGGGTGCAGTTCTTCTCCCGTTTGTTGGGGGGTGACTGAAGGTCATGTGTTGACTTGCAGGAGGCACGCCGCAGGACCCCGCCATCTGGCCCAGGCTTGATCTGGGGGACCATGCGCCACACAAGCAGGATGATCTCACTAGGACAGCTCCTGGAAGTTGGGGGATCACACAGTGAAGTTGAGCCTGGGGAAGACCAATATCAGCCAGGGTGGGGGCCTGCAGGGCAGAGAGGAAGAAGAAGGGAAGAGGAAGCAGACACAGGTAGAAGCCCCCAGGCCAGTATCAGGGCAGGAAGAGATGTAAGAGGCCATTTAAAGCAGAGAGAGCAAAGGGGCCTCTTAGGTCAACTCTAGTTGACTGGAAGTAGCTGAGAAGGACCCTGAGGCCAAGGCCAGGTTGAGGAACAGGAAAGAGCACCATACTCAACTCATGATGCCTGTCATGGGCAAGATATAAGCGAGCAGGAGCAAGTGAGCCACCTAAATGCAATCCATCCTCTGGTCATTCGAGAAGCAAACCTAAAATGGGGCCATTAGGGTTTTACCCCAGGGATCAAAATTCAAGAGACAAACATTTTAAAGAATAATTTTTTAATTGTGCAATTGAAATATCTGCAACATCTATATGTCCTTAAAAACAATGGGCTTAGCTCTTTTGGTAACAGGAATAATAAGCTGAAGAGGAAAGCAACCCCCTGCAGTCACGTCATGAACCACAAGGCCTCTTTGACAGCTTCTTCCCCGCTGTGTGCTCTGGGACCCAAAATTGCTCTGAGCCCAAACCTTCCAATTTCAGGCCAAGAAACTGACTCTCTGAGGAGCAAAGTGAATTGCTCATGGCTGGGCAAAGGAGGGAGCAGCAAGAGCAGGGCTGGGCGAGGCAGTGTGCCCAGAGCTGGGGGGAAGAAGTGCCATCAGCCTGAGGCCCCAGGCCGCCCACTGTCCCTGTCACCGGATCTCGTGTGCCAGCTCCACGCATTTCCAGTGCTCCACAGGCCTCTCATTCAGTTGCAGTACTGTGTCCAGCTGCTGCAGCCCTGCCCGCTCTGCCGGGCCCCCTGCAGGAACAAAGAAAAGCCAGTCAGGGGCCCCCGAAGCCCAAGCACCTCAAAGGACCTGGAATCCTTTATTTCTGTGGTGACTTCAGACAAGGGCCGCCCTTTTTCTTTCAGTTTCTTCGTCTGTGAAATGAAGGGCCAAGCTTGGTGGCTCTCAAGGGCCTTGAAGGGAGGTACCCCTTTGCCCTCATCCCCACCCTGCCTGCCTCCCCCTAATGCTGGCTCACCTCTCTGCTGCTCACCCTCCACCCAGCCCCTCCCCCTCCCCAGGGCCTCCTACCCCAGTGAGAACCCTTCCCTGCTGCCAGGCTCACACGCTTCTTTCCTTCCTTCCATGCCATTCACTGAGCACCCACCTCTTGCCCTCTCTGTGCAAGCACTGGGGACACCCTGACCACTGAGCACTGGCTTTTGCCCTTAAGATGCCTACTCCGTGATTAGGAGAAATCTTTTATTCAGGAAAAAAAAAAAAAGGAAAGAATGACAAGTTTTAAGTGCTAATTGGGCTTGCAATAGGATAAAATCCAATTCCAAACAGAGCTCATAAATAACTCTCATTTTCCCCTGCAGACATTACTGAAAATATAGGTTGAGTTCCTGTTCAAAATGATTGGGAAACAAAATATAAAAATCTATTTTCATTTTGATAAAAACAAAAAAAGAGTGGGCATATTTTCATAAACCTCAGTCTCATCTGAAAATATTATTCTTT